ATTCTGGGATGTGGGTCATAGAGGATCCTGCTGTGATTTATGTCGGAGAGTGTTTTGCCTATGTTCTCCTCTAGGAGTTTTATAGTTTCTGGTCTTACATTTAGATCTTTAATCCATTTTGAGTTTATTTCACCAAATAGTTTTTAAATCATCATAAAAATGGATCTTTGCTTCCTTTTGGTCTTTAACTACTGTGGATAGAGGCTCATTTAGTTATGCAGGTTTTTCTTTATTTAATCTTGCTTCGAAATTTAGGGCTTCCCTGGTGTCTCAGCTGATAAAGAATCTGCCTGCAACAGGGGAGACCTGGGTTTGATCCCTGTGCTGGGAAGATACCATGGAGAAGGGCGATGCAAGCCAGTCCAGTATTTTGCCTGGAGAGCTCCATGGACAGAGGAGCCTGGCGGGCTGCAGTCCATGGGGTCACAAAGAGCTGGACATGACTGAACTTAACTTACCTCAACTCAGTCCTTATCATTTCATTTACTATATTATTTTCTTCCTTTTAGAACGGGACCTGTTTGGAGCAGAACCTTTTGACCCATTTAACTGTGGAGCAGGGGATTTCCCACCAGACATTCAATCAAAATTAGATGAGATGCAGGTGACTATTTTAACAGATTGGCCCATAGTTTTTGTTTTGGTTTGTTTTGTTTTTTTCTGTGATTCCTAGATAATGTTATAAACTATAGTATATATTATCAACTTGCTGAAAATAATTGCTTTAAAATAACAATATACATTTAGCTCTAAAAATACTCAGATGCTAAAGATAAGGTTTTTGTTGTGTTTTGTTCTTAACGGTGCAATTTACAGTGGCAGTAAGGTGGTGCATCTTTTTGATACAAAATTGCATGAATTCTTCATGAGTTCATTATTCAAAATCCAAAAATTAAAAGGTCATTGCATTAGACTTATAAGATTTGATCTCAGTCTTTTAAAACAATTATGAATTTCAAAATTGTGAATGGGTGAATGAAGGAAAAGCTTTGTAAGAGTGAAATCAGTCTTTTAAAGGAATCATTGTAAAAGAGGTCATCTGTATGATTATGGATGGAAACTAAACTTGACCACACTGTATAGTGTATACAGAAGTTGAAATATAATGTTGCACACATGAAATTTATATAATGTTATAAACCATGTACCACAATTAGTTTAAAAAGATTAAAGCTGATAGCTAAAACCAAGAATTCCAAAGAAGGGGGGGATGTAAAAACAGAAGGAAGCATTGTGGGCTCTTCTGGGCTCCTATTGAAGCAGCAGACACCAAATGACCACTTCTTAAGGAATGTAGTACAGTTGCATTTTCATTTCTTTCTCTCCCTTTTATTTTTCAATTCTGAATCGTTTTGAAAGTTTGAAGATATTTTGTGTAGTGGGCCATAATTAATAATTAGCATTATAAGCACTATAATAAGGTCTTCTCTTTATATTTCCTTTTATATCTTGGTGATGTTTTTATATCCTATTTTTTACCAAAAAGACAATATATATGTGGTAGAATGCAGTCAGAGATCAGCTCATTATATCAACCAGCTTATATGAAGCTGACTGAAAATATGTGATGACTTTACTTATTCAGCCTGGACAATATACTCACTCTTCTATGCTTTATTTCCTGGAAAAAAAATTAAGGGGTGGATTATGATCTTCTAACACTGATAAAACACTACTTCTTAGAAAGATCATAAATATCCTTTCACTGATTTTGGACTGAAGGTATGAAGCAGTTTTTTAAGTATTATGTGCTTTTCCTTATTATTCCAGATGTAATAATACCTCTCTATCTTAAAAGTTGGATTGTTTAACATATCTTGAGATTTTTTAAGAATATGTTAAAAGAAAAATTTCTCAAGTTGAATGATTTATAATTCCCTTTTGCATAAAAGTTATTTTAAATCCTTAATACTCACTTAAACTTTTATTATAACATTTCATAAATACTTACAAAAGTTAAAAAGCATTTTATCCTTACAGATCTTATATAACTGTTAATTCAAAACTTATCAATTAAAAGCAAAATTATAGCACCTAATAAAATTCTAATTACAAACTTTATTATAATCACATGGGTTATTTTACTCAGCTGAAGCTAAAACCACTGACATCAAACTTCTGTTGATATCAGCATGTATCTTATTTGATGACACAGTTTCTGCACATCTATTCTATTCAAATACTAAGAGACTTCATGCAAATAGTACATGATTATTTCGTGATAACGCTTTGTTTATTTCATATGAAAATAATTTGTTTACCTTTTCATTGATTTTATCAATTATGCTTATTCTACCTCAGCGCTAATGTTTTTGTAGGAACAGACAAAAACATGGACACTGATATGGTAGTATTTGTTCTGAAAGGTTGTAAGAACCACAAGGAATTACTACTAATGGTTTTTTTAGATTTCCACACAACAAATGTTTTCTATAGATTTTTGAAAATAAAACTGTATCTCCAGATTTTTGTAGAAACCTAGTTTGAGAAACATTGTATTGGAATGATTTAACATGTGTTAGATAATGTTACACTGTGGTATTTTTGCTTTTGTTTTTGTTATTTCTTAATGTCTTTTTCATTCTTTTCTGCTTTCATGGTTGGTAGCGCCAGAGATGGTTGGTATATCATTTTCATATTTTAAACAAGTTATGGCTTCTTGAAGTTAAACCTTAATATTTGCATGCTTTATTTAATAAATGCTCAAATAGCAGTTCATATGGANTTTTCATTCTTTTCTGCTTTCATGGTTGGTAGCGCCAGAGATGGTTGGTATATCATTTTCATATTTTAAACAAGTTATGGCTTCTTGAAGTTAAACCTTAATATTTGCATGCTTTATTTAATAAATGCTCAAATAGCAGTTCATATGGATATGTCTGATTATTAGTTGTGTTTAAAGAGGTTTATACTCATATTTTGAAGTTGTTTTTTTTTCAGTGAATTAGGCACTATTGCATCGTCCATCTCATTGTTTCTTTTAATCCATGATTTATTTGCAATTTTAATTTAACTAAAGTAAAATAATATTTATCTAAAATCTATGACAGCTTTCATTATTAATCTTGTTAGCCTGATTAATTGAATACACACATTTAGTTACTATTTTTATCTTTGCATATAATGTAAAAACTTAATACAGTATAGGCGCTAATGGTAAACAGTCCTCCTGCAATGCCAGGAGACATAATGGACTGAAATTCAGGTTCGATCCCTGAGTTGGGAAGGTCCCCCAGAGAAGGGCCTGGCACCTCTGTGGTATTCTTACCTGGAGAATCCCATGGACAGAGGAGCCTAGCAGTCTACAGTCCATAGTGTCGCAAAGAGTCAGCACAACTGAAACGACTTAGCTTGCACGCATATAAATTATATTGAATTAAGCTTACTGAAATTTTGGATTTTACTCTTTTATTTATAGAGGAAATTGAAGAAACATCTCATGAATGTAAGAATTTAAGCAGAACTATTAAGCCATATTTTTTATAAATTGTTAGAAAATTAGATATTTATTTGAAATCAATTATGTGGGTATCCGATTTGACGAAATTTACACTTCTCATTACATGTCACTGGCAGACAAATTAGTGTAATATTATTGATATCCCAGAAGTTTACCTTATTCATTATAATAATTTAACATGTTAAAAAAGAACCATGGTAAGTCAATGAAAGATAAATGAATTTTGCAAGTGATGTTAATTCAACTGGTTAATAATTTGGAAGATCAGTGTATAGCTGAAATATACAACAAATATTCAGATTAATTTTAGAAACCTTGGGTAGTTTAAAATATTTGAAATACAATTACATACTTATCAGACTTTTGAATTATAAAGAAAATTTTATAAGGAAAATATATACATGCAGTCTCCTGGAGAAAAACTTCTATGCTTCTTTTAATTTTGTTTTAAAGAAATATAACCATATTGTGTATATATAACTAAAATAAGTAGACAAATGATAAGGAAACTAAATAATCAACAGATAAAAAGGCAGTTGATCACAAAGGACCATAAATGGCTACGTACTTGTAGACATGTTAAATCTAATCAAATAAACATACAAATTAACAGCTATAAATGCTATTTTAGTTCAGCAAATTAAGCATTTTATTTTTTACTAATATGAGTGCAAATGAAGTGTAATGAAACAAGCACTCTAAATCATTGCTGGGTCAAGATCCATTCATAGCATCCCTTGGGCAGTAATTTGTTGCTAATACTTGTATTTCTATGTGGTATCAAAAACTTTAATGCAATCTATCCTGAAGAGAAAATAACTATGAATATGGAAAATCTCTATGCATAGAAACATCTAGTCAGCATTATTTAAAATTATAAAATACAGGAAATGAATCATATTAAAATTAATGAAACATCATAAAATCATCAAATTAGTTTTACATGGACTCAGAGAAATTTGTTCTGCTAAGATTAAAAAAATAGAATACAGAAATTTATATATAATGTATGTAATACATCAAATAAATGTTATATATAATATATAGTTATATTATTAAATTATTGTTTAAATTTATAGGTAGAAAAAAGGGAGATTCAAAGGACATACTTCAACATATTAATTGTTACATATGAGTGTTTTTTTTTCCTTCCTTGATATACTTTTCTATTTCAAAGTAAGAAAATACAATTGGGGAAAATATTTTATATAACTTATATTATTAATTATACATTAATAATAAAATCATTATTTTGTGTGATATTAATTATCATCTCCATTCCAACCCTACATAAGTTAAATAAGCGTTATTTTCACTCAGAGGTTTAAAATTCAAGAGGATATGGAACTTTAGAAGGACTGAGCATTTGTTAAATCATGACTTACTAAATGAGACCTAGAGAGGAAGGGTCAGAAAATGTGTGGGAAATTTTTTTAGGAGGAAAGAAAACCAAGAAACCATATGACCATGTGTCAAAATCAAAAGAGATAATTAAGTTAATCTAAAAGGAATCCAAAAGGATCCTTATAAAAACTTGGAGATATTCTTGTAATTAATATACAAATATTTTTTGCTGCTCTTGAAATAATGATCAACTCCTGTCTTACTTTGATTACTATTCTGCTTTTCCCTGGTAGCTCAGACGGTAAAGTGTCTGCCTGCAATTTGGGAGACCTGGGTTCAATCCCTAGGTCGGGAAGATCCCCTGGAGAAGGAAATGGCAACCCACTCCAAGTACTGTTGCCTGGAAACTTCCATGGATGGAGGAGCCTGGTAGGCTACAGTTCATGGGATCGCAAAGAGTCGGACATGATTGAGCAACTTCACTGATAGTAATAGCACATTGATAAATTATATTTTCAGGGTAATTAAAGCAATAGTGGTTTAATTTCAGAATGAACTGATAACATTTTAAAAACAATGATATCAAATCTTTGCAAAGGTAATACATAGCCACAGTACTTGTCTATTCTAGAAGATGATATAGTACATAGATCCTCAGATATCCAAATAAGATATTTTAAAAAGAAGTTTATTTACAGTATCTTCAGTTTAAAGTATTGACTTTTCTAACTATTTGGCAGCTGTTTAAAAAATATGCATACATGTGGCAAAATATTTCTGCTTGTGACAGGAATAGGCTTTTAAATAAATGGTAAGTACTCTGACTTTTACTTAACTAAATAGAATTTGTATTTCAAATAGTGAGAAGTAGTTTTGAAAAATCATTAAAGTGATGGTATTGCATGTGAACTTTTTGCTGTAGGCATAATGAAGAGCATTCTCTAAACACTAATAGCAAAAAAGGTGTGGCTTGCATTTTGTAATGGTTCTCTTCCTCTATATGATACTGTTTGCATTGGGCTTTTAATAAAAGTACATTAGTTACCAATTATATTTGAAGGTAACTCAAATTCTGCAAATTCATTTGAGGAAAGGCAAATGAATGTGTATTTGGCTGGCACACAGGTAGATGCCATCTAATTAAATGAAAGACAAAGCAGAACAGAGGACAAAAGCCTTCTCTTTGAGAGAGATTTTCTTTTCCTCAGGAACAGACTGCTGTCTACATTTCATTTTATAGGCAAGGATGAGTATGGGAGAGATAGTAAGGCCAGAGATGGGCCATCTATCAATTACTTTAGACAGAAAAGAAGAAAGCTTTGAGAAGAGAAGGACAAAATCCTTTGCCACTGAATTTTTACTAAAACTCTTGGAAAAAAATTTTTTTCATGGCAATTGGGTCCTTGCTATTAATAAATTAAGGCAGTGTAACTTCCAGAAGCATTTAAAATGTGCTACAACAAAGTGTTAGCCTCTCAGTCATGTCCAGCTCTTTGCAACCCCATGGACTGTAGCCCACCAGACTCCTCTGTCCATTGGATTTCCCAGACAAGAATACTGGAATGGGTTGCTGTTGACTTCTCCGGGGATCTTCCTCACTCAGGGATCAAACCCTAGTCTCCCACATTGCAGGCAGATTCCTTACCATCTGTGCCACCAGGGAAGATGCTAACACATGCTAGAGTGAGTGGAATTCAAATAATTTGCAAATGCAAGCAACTGCAAAACTAGTTGTTTAGTCACTCAATCATGTCTGACTCTTTTGAGATTCCATGGACTGTACCTTGCCAGACTCTCCTGTCCATGGTATTTCCCAGGCAAGAATACTGCAGTGGGTTGCCGTTTCCTTCTCCAGGTGTTAACCAAGTCCAAGCTTGCTCTGCTCACTGCACAGTAGGCCAATGAATCCAAGAGACAAGGTGTTGAGGCAAGGAAGAGACTTTAATGGGAGAGCTAGCAGACCAGGAACATGGAAGGCTAGCGCCTCAAAATAACCATCTTCTTGGGGTCTGGATGCCAGGTTCTTTTATAGATCAGAGAGAAAGAATCAATGAGGAATTAACATCAAAAGCCAGAATAGAGAGGGAGATACAGTGGGAAGTAAAGTGAAAGGGTCTTTAGTCTTGCAAAACATCTCCAAGGGAATGTCCAGCCTTCAAAAGGGGTGTGTTAATCTCTTTTATTCACAGGTGGGCAGGAACAAACTGTTTCTCCAAGAGCTAAACAAAGGCACTTTAGTTTACTGTCAAGCAGAAGGGCAGGGTCCTCCAGGCAAGCCATTTAGTATGATTATAATAATAACAGCAAGTCAGAGAAACAGTTTCCAACATGGAGTCAGAATTGGCTTCTTCCCTGCAACACAGGGAATATTCCCAATGCAGAGTCTGAAGCAGCATCTCCTGCAACGGGTGGGTTCTTTATCACTGAGTCAACAGGGAAGCTGCAGGGGAAGCTTTTTCCATGGCAAAGTGGTCTGCAGCCCTGTGCTACCGTAGGATCCCCTACACAGGATACGGCATTGCAATTCCTTAATGCAATGCAGTTTATTTTACCAGGCTCTGGGCAGTGAAACCTTTCACTAACAGAAAGGTAAAAACTATTAAAGAAAGAAAGAAAGGTGAATACTATCAAACTGTCATCAACTTGAGATCTAGCTATTGTGCTTATACTTAAGTGAACACTGACCTTTAAAGTCAAGGAACCTTTTTAAGCTACAGTAGAATGACATAAAGTAGACTTTACTGAAAAGAAACATTTAAGTCTTAAAATTAATTCCACGTAGTCCTGTTTTCTTGTCTCTTATAGATGCTCAGTTCAGTTCAGTTGCTCAGTTCAGTTCAGTTCAGTTTAGTTGTTCAGTCGTGTCCGACTCTTTGCGACCCCATGAATCGCACAACGCCAGGCCTCCCTGTCCATCACCAGCTCCCAGAGTCCACCCAAACTCATGTCCATCGAGTCGGTGATGCCATTTTATCATCTGATCTTCTGTTATCCCCTTCTTCTCCCACCTTCAATCTTGCCCAGCATCAGGGTCTTTGCCAAGGAGTCAGTTCTTCACATCAGGTGGTCAAAGTATTGGAGTTTCAGCTTCAACTCAAAAATATACAAGCAACTCCTCCAGCTCAACTCCAGAAAAATAAATGACCCAATTAAAATGTTAATGGATATAAAAGCACTTGATACAAATTTGACAAGTCAACATTTGACACAGAATTATTTCTTTTTTGACCAAAGCATGATTTCAACTTTTGTTCATAGTCTTTTTCATTTACAGATTTTTTTTTTTCTATGAGCATTTCCTATTTTAATGATTTTACTTTGTTTTACAGGAGGGGTTCAAAATGGGACTAACTCTTGAAGGCACAGTATTTTGTCTCGACCCTTTAGACAGCAGGTGCTGATGTAAAGAACAAGACGTCCTGAATCTGTTAAAATTGTTTTGTATACATATATATATATCAGTCATTATTACTTATGTCAGGTATTATAAATGTGCCAATATATTTTTGAGTCTGTTAACTTTTTGAGAATTATTTCAGTAAAATTTCCTGATGCATTCACTGTTGATCTGTAACATTTTGCTTTAAGAACTCACTGTAAATTAAATCATACTTTTATGTTCCTTTCAGTTTATTTGTAGAAGAATTTATAATTAAGAGACAAATTATCCAAATATCTTCTTTTGTCTGAGTTCTGAATAATTAGCTTCTTCAAAGTTATCTTCATTCTCTAGGCTGCTAGTTTATTATTAATTTCCCAAAAGCCGTACCTAAATGATACCTTTCAGAATCCTAAGAGATATACCAATGCCAAACTAAATATGTTCTATATTCAAACCAATAAACATGTTACCATTCATTAGACAGATATCATTTTTTGTATGAAATGCTGTTCATATTATTGGGAAAATGTAAACTTTGAATGTAACACCACCATATCATTTTTAACAGGTAAAATAACAGAAATATAAATCCCAATAATAATTAAACTAAATGTGTTTAGAGTTGTTATTACTAAGCTCTAGATCATAATGTTATTATTATCAGCTATACTCTAAATATTTTATTTCATACATAAAGATTTTGGAAAAATGAAAGCTTGCTATTCACAAAGGACTTACAATTTAGTTTCTATCAAGATAAGTTACATTACTAAACATCTAAATGTCATTTGATCTGATGGTTCCTAAAAATGATTTGGAATATATACTGTCTATAGTTGCAGCATCTATTACCCATATTTGCTTTACCAAATAAATTTTTTCTCACTGAATAAGACTATTCTTCTTATATTTCTCCCCTGATTAAAGTATTTTCCCACCAAGATTTATTTTGTTATAGCCCATTCATTCTGATACCTTAAAAAATCTATAGCACCTTTTCTTTATGAATTATCAATATTATTTAGCAAATTTAATGTTTTCTCCATTAAAGTCAGGATCTCATTTTTGAAATGAATGGAATTACTGCTCAGTTTAGTCTTTAACCTGAACAATAACATTCTCTTGTACCTGGCTCTTTTGCTGGTGAACTTCAGCTTTTAAAAAAAAAAAAATTGTTTTCTATATATTCACCTGTTATGTAACAGACTCTAATTTATACAGAGTGCAGCAAAAATTTATGGTCAGATATATAATTTGGTTCATCTCATTATAAGAAAAGTAAATTAAATTAATGAAAATGTGAGCTTAGATAGAAGGTAGATCTCAAAAATTTTCTTTTAGTCACAGGAATTTTCTTCATGTGCTAATGGTGCATTTTCACTAGAAACAGAAATCAAATATGCTTATGCAATATTATATTTGTATGTATCTTCATAATATTCTATGGTCTATATAAGCCTTCCTCTTTGTTTTCTGTTATCTGTTCAGTTGTACCTTAATTAGAGGATAGTATATGTTTCATAAAGAAGAGTCTTTATAATTTTGTTTGTCATATAGTATTTTGGAATTTGTATAATGAGGATGTTTAGAAGCCCTATCAATGGCTTTTTTTTAACAGATAGAATTTGTATTTTTATTGTACTTTAAAAAGCTTTATGTAATAGGTATATATTTAGTGGCAATTTATTATCAATGGCAACACAATAGAGTACTTTGCACATTTAAAATAAGTTACTTTACCAATTTTTAAAGGTAATCAATCCTGCTACTGGCATGATTAAATAGTATATATAATTGGTCATTAATTATGAACATTTTATTTCACCAGTGCATTTTTATGAAGATCCAGTTGCAAATTGTATTTCTATGTAAACTCAATGATATGTTTGATTTTGCTGAAAATAAATGATTTGAAATAAATTAAGTTGTATAATTTATATTTGTATATATTATAACTCATTAAATAATCTCTAATTCATTTAGACACATTCTGAGGCTAATTTCATGCCAGATTTTACTGGTTGTAAATCAGTGCCAAAAGAAAGACAGAAAGAAAAAGAAGGAAGCAGAAATTTCTTACAGCCCACACACATTCTAGCTTTATGATCAACCATCATTCTGTTGTGAAAACAGGAGATTTCATCTTGCTGGTGAGAAAGGTCATAGTTTGCTTCCTTTTACCAGAAGCATCTGGTATAGTAGCTGTATTATATACATATCTCTTTTCAGAATGAAAAGCCCTTTTATCCTAGTAATACAAAGGGTATGTTGGCTGATAGTCTTATAAAGGTGGACCTGATAATAGAATTTTAAGTTGTGGCTAATTAGAATGTCATAAAGTTTTGAACCTATTTAAAACACAATGTTAAGTATTTTAATGATACTCAGGACACATACACAGCCTTTGCACAACAATGAGCACTTTATCCATCTGTTCAATAAAATTCCTTTATTACTCCCTGTGAATAACATGTATTAGGTGGGTAAGAAAACATTTGGTAAGTTTCTAGCAGACATTGTTAAACACAAGATGACCAGATCCCTGCCTTCAGTTAGTTTATTGTCCTAAAGGAAAAGTAAGATATTTATATGAATTAGTAAATGAAAACCTGTATGTATTAAAGTACAGTGTGAACCAAATATTAATATTTAGTTATGCTTAAATTTGGGTTCCTAAATTTGGCCAGTGTCTATCATGTTAGAAATCCAGTGTGAGACTTATGAAGACAGGCCAATGAGAATAATTTTCTTCATCTTTTCTTGTTATATTATGTATTTGATCTTTTTAAATTTTAGTCATATTATGGGACTTCACTTTCAGATAGAATTTCTGATAGATTTTGTGTTGTTGCATTTCTAAATACTGACTTCTATTTTTGCTCTTTTTGATGTTACTTAACATAACCATGAAAAAAAACCTGGCTGTTAATAATTTTTCTGTTCCAGTGTTTCCATCTATAGTTCCAAATTCAATATTTACTCATGATTTTGGGTTTCAGCCTCTGTTAAATTACTTGAAGAATCTTGGACTCAGTTTTGACAACTAAATCCCAGACTCCACCCAAGCTACCCTGTTAATGGGCAGCTAACACACTGTAGATATGGGTATGGCTAGTATGCCCTCAGCCACCTGTGACTCATGCAAGAAGCACCTAACTTAATTGTCTTCTCCTTCCCTAGATAGCCTCAGGCAAATATCTCAAGACCTTCTCCCTCTAACACCCATCTCATAAATTTTACACAAACTTAGTTACATACCTTTGTTCCATGTATTAACCTTATATTATTAAGGTCTGAATGTAACCCACTTCTAAAATTCTGTCCCTCAAAAGATATTTCTCTGGAATTCATCTGAAATAGTATTCCTTTACTCTAGTGAGGAGACCCCCCTCTTAAAATAATCTATGGTCTATTTCTTTACTTTCAAGTTCAGTTCATTCAGTCGCTGTGTCTTTTCTGACACTTTGTGACCCCATGAACCACAGCACGCTAGGCCTCCCTGTCCATCACCAACTCCCGGAGTCCACCTAAATGATGTCGGATTTGTGAGCTCCGAAGATTTAGCTTCGGAACCAGGGACCAGTCTCAATCCCTCAAGAGCTTTGGTGTAGCAGAGTTTTATTGAAGTGAAAAAGGAACAGAGAATGCTTCTAACATAGATATTAGAAGGCAGATGGAGAGTGCCCCGTCACTGTTAGCAAGGGAGTTATACACTTTTTAACTAATTATTGCAATAAATCAAAAGAATGTCTCAAGTTTGTGAAAATTTTACCAGACCCTCTCCCACAATTTACATTTTAGGATAACAGGGTTAGAATTTAGCAATAGAAAGATGCTACCAGACCCACTCCCATAGTATACATTGTGAAATATCAGGATTAATCAGAAGGTTTTCAGAAAGGAGAAACTGTCCTCAAGCAGGATACATTGTTGTTATATAAGCCTTAATACAGAGTTTAAACTGAGTTTTTGTTGTGTAATCGTCAGTTCCAAGGAAAAGGCAATGGCACCCCACTCCAGTACTCTTGCCTGGAAAATCCCATGCATGGAGGAGCCTGGTAGCTGCAGTCCATGGGGTCGCTGCAAGTCGGACATGACTGAGTGGCTTTGCTTTCACTTTTTATTTTCATGCATTAGAGAAGGAAATGGCAACCCAATCCAGTGTTCTTGCCTGGAGAATCCCAGGAATGGGGGAGCCTGGTGGACTGCTGTCTATGGGGTCACACAGTCGGACATAATTGAAGTGACTTAGCAGCAGCAGCAGCAGTTCCGGGCTTAAAGAAAAAACATAACAAAACATTTTATGTGACTAAGACTAAGGAATGTAGAGGGAAAAATAAAACGTTTGTCCTTTCTTCCTCCTTGAGAACACCAGATCCCTCTCTTCTCCTCGGAGACACTAGACCCCTTATCAACCTGCCTAGGGATTGACTCCCTCATTCCCCCCTCTTCTTTTAGGAGAATTATGTTGCCAAGGGAAAGGGGCGTCATTTTCATTCCATGACTACTTCCTGCTGTATTGGGTCACTGTTCCAAACTTGTTGAGGCAACATATTCTCCTAACTCTCATATTGAGGGTCTCTGATCCAGGGCCCCCAAGAAATAGTTGGAGGAGGTTGTGGCACTCGTAGGAGCTTGAGCAACCATTTATAACTTAAAAGCTTTCAGACGGTTAGAAACGAACCCCATTATACAGTTACAGATGTAAGGCAAAACAGTCATTGGACCAAGTTAAAATCAAAATTTAAAGTCAAATGTGACCACGTCATGGTTATATCAGTCCATTTTAGGATTACTAGATGTTATCAGATCAAGAAGAGGCATCACATACGGTTGTTGTTGGTGAAGATTTTTGCAGAGTTGAAGAAAGTCCTTTCCTTGAAGCAGAGAAACCCACCATGGGAAGTCTTCAACTGAGGAGGGAAGTGCTCCACAGACCCAGCAGGTAGACCAAGTGTGGAATGCAGCATAGGAATGAGTCCAGGACAGGAAGGCGGTGTCTTAAGGGTCAAAGGCAGACTCAGGATTTCTGGAGTCAGCAGAAGCAAGCCCACCTAGATTCTCAGGCCCATCTTGGTTCCTCACTCAAACAGCTGTTTGTTTGACTCAAAGTTTTGGTCAGGAGTTAACCTCCTGGTAATGACTGTTGAAAAGCTAAAAGCTGAGTCACATAGTTAATTTTAAGGCTTCAGGAGCTATGACAATATCTGTGCACAAAAAAGTCTGTCATAGAGACAGTTCTTTCTTCTTAGGGGCAGTTTGAGCCCTCATTAAAGCTATAGCTAAAACTTTAAAACAACTGTCTTGTGTTTCCTGAGTTAGCTTACACAGATGTCTCTTAATAATGTCATTAGCTTTTTTCTACATTTTCCGAAGACTGGGGTCTCCAAAACAGTGCAAGTGATATTCTATTCCTAGAGCTTTTGACACACCTTCAGCAAGAGCAGCTTTAAAGGTGGAGAACTGTTGCTCTGAACTTAACATCACGAGAAGTCAGTACAGTAAAATTTCACCCATTAGTAAACTTATGAGCTTTAGGCATAACAATAACATAACCATAACATAACAATAACAATAACGTAGCTTTAGCAAAATAATGGTAACAATTACCCTTAAGCAATGTGGCCATAGCCTCTATTTTCAGTAACAAACAAACTAAACTCTGATCCTGTGGACAAACTCAAAGTTGGAGCCTGCAAGAGAGCAATTTGAAGAGCCTTAAAAGCCTTTTGAATAACTAAAGACCAAACCAGCTTGTGACTTTGGGCCTGCTGAGTCTCAGTTATAAGTTTATTTTATTTTTTTGATGATCTTATAGATTTTTTTTTATTTTAATTGGAGGCTAATTACTTTATAGTATTGTGGTGGTTTTTGCCATACATTCACATTAATCAGCCATGGGTGCACATCTGTCCCCCATCCTGAAACCCCCTCCCACCTCCCTCCCCATCCCATCCCTCAGGGTCATCCCAGTGCACCATCCCTAAGCACCCTGTCTCATGCATTGAACCTGGACTGGCGATCTATTTCACATATAATATACATGTTTCAATGCTATTCTCTCAAATCATCCCACCCTTGCCTTCTCCCAGAGTCCAACAGTCTGTAATTTACATCTGTGTCTCTTTTGCTGTCTCGCATATAGGGTCATCGTTACCATCTTTCTAAATTCCACATTATATGCATTAATATACTGTATTGGTGTTTTTCTTTCTAACTTACTTTACTCTATAACAGACTCCAGTTTCATCCACCTCATTAGAACTGATTCAAATGCATTCTTTTTAATAACTTGAGTAATATTCCATTGTGTATATGTACCACAGCTTTCTTATCCCTTTGTCTGCCTATGGACATCTAGGTTGCTGCCATGTCCTGGCTATTGTAAACATTGCTGCAATGAACAATGGGGTACACATGTCTCTTTCAATTCTGGTTTCCTCGGTGTGTATGCCCAGGAGTGGAATTGCTGTGTCATATGGCAATTCTAGTACCAGTTTTTTAAGGAATCTCCACACTCTTCTCCATAGTGGCTGTACTAGTTTGCATTTCCACCAACAGTGTAAGAGGGTTCCCTTTTCTCCACACCCTCTCCAGCATTTATTGCTTGTAGACTTTTGGATAGCAGCCATCCTGACTGGCGTGTAATGGTACCTCATTGTGGTTTTGATTTGCATTTCTCTGATAATGAGTGATGTTGAGCATCTTTTCATGTGTTTGTTAGCCATCTGTATGTCTTCTTTGGAGAAATGTCTGTTTAGTTCTTTGGCCCATTTTTTGATTGGGTCATTTATTTTTCTGGAATTGAGCTGCAGGAGCTGCTTGTTTATTCTTGAGATTAATTCTTTGTCAGTTGCTTCATTTGCTATTATTTTCTCCCATTCTGAAGGCTGTCTTTTCACCTTGCTTATAGCTTCCTTTGTTGTGCAAAAGCTTTTAAGTTTAATTAGGTCCCATTTGTTTATTTTTGCTTTCATTTCCATT